GTATTTAATAAATGGCCTCTCCAGGAGGCCGTAAATAAATCACACCTAACCGGGAGGACAGCGCCCTCTCTCATCCCTCTCTCTCTCTATTCTCACAGCTAATGTTCATTACGCAAACGAATGAAAAAAAAAGCGAGATGGAAATAGAAGGAAATGGGAGGGAGGGAAGAAGACAGGGAGATGGGGGCAAGGATATGCAGATCGTAATAAATATACATATAAATTAGGGACGGAATATGTACCTATATGAATGTTAAAATAAGTTTCAAATTGTCAACGACGCAAGTTGCGTCCCCCGTGTATAACCGACCACCGTCAGCCACCACCGCCTCTCCAACCCGACTAATTCCGCTGCAGCGAGCTTCGTGTGAGAGAGAGTGAGAGAGAGAGAGAGGACGGGGCAATCTAGAGTGCCGTGGGGGGTTCGAGCAGGGCCTAAATTCATTAGCGAAAACCCCAGAAATTTTTCGTAAAAAATAAAAAAACAGCGCACACAATGCACACACCTTTTCATTCTCGTTTCATTTCGTTTTTAATCTTAATACCTTAAATATTTAGAAACTTAATTAAGTTTTCTAAGGTGGGCCCTTTTCATATTTTGTTTCATTCACATATCTTAGCTGAAGTCGTAAAGCGCGCAAAGTGAGTGCGCTTTAAATAGTCTTGAGTACCTGTTACAACGTAAACATAATTTTTTAACAGTTTCAATTTTAATTTTCTTTAGTAATAAATGCAATATCAAGTATTATTCTAATTATATTTAATTCACCATTTTCTTTACTTTAAAGATGTCAATTGAAATTTATATGTTAATTTAGTGTTTTATTGAGTAATTTCATAATTAATATAAGTCTATTTTTGATTTTGTATTTTTTTTTCAAATTATTTCAACAACAATTTTCTCTATTATTAAAGCTAATATCACAACTTTTTAATTAAGTGTTTTTTCGAAATATTTTAAAATTAGAACAATGATTTTTTTAAATATTTTATGTTAATTATTACTCATTTCCAAATGCAATTTTCTATATTAATAATAATGATATCAAATATTCTTTCAATCGTCATATGTTCTTTAATTAGTCTAGTTTTATGATTTGTTGAGAAGTTAATAGGTTCATTAAGAATTTTTTCGAAATATTTTAAAATTAGAAAATTAGATTTTTTTTGATAATTTATGCCAATTATTACTCATTTTCAAACGCAATTTTCTTTATTAATAATTATGATATTAAATATTTTTTCAATCGTAATATGTTCTTTAATTAGTCTAGTTTTAAGATTTAATGAGAAGTTAATAGGTTTATTAAGTGTTTTTTTCTAAATATTTTAAAATTAAAAAATTTGATTTTTTTTTGATAATTTATACCAATTATTACTCATTTTCAAACTCAAATTTTCTATATTAATAATTATGATATCAAATATTTTTTCAATCGTAATATATAAGATTTTGTGAGAAGTTAATAGGTTTATTAAGTGTTTTTTCAAATTATTTTAAAATTAGAAAATTCATTTTTTTGATAATTTATGCTAATTATTAGTCATTTTCAAACGCAATTTTCTATATTAATAATTATGATATTAAATATTCTTTCAATCGTAATATTTTCTTTAATTAGTCTAGTTTTAATATTTTGTGAGAAGTTAATAGGTTTATTAAGTGTTTTTTCGAAATATTTTAAAATTAGAAAATTGATTTTTTTGGGATAATTTATGCCAATTATTACTCATTTTCAAATGCATTTTCTATATTAATAATTATGATATTAAATATTCTTTCCATCGTAATATATTCTTTAGTTAGTCTAGTTTTAAGATTTGATAAGAAGTTAATAAGTTTATTAAGTATTTTTTCGAAATATTTTAAAATTAGAAATTTAGATTTTTTTGATAATTTATGCCAATTATTACTCATTTTTAATCGCAATTTTCTATATTAATAATTGTGATATTAACTATGCTTTCAATCGTAATATATTCTTTAATTAGTCTAGTTTTAAGATTTGGTGAGAAGTTAATAGGTATATTAAGTGTTTTTTCGAAATATTTTAAAATTAGAAAATTGATTTTTTTTTTGATAATTTATGCCAATTATTACTCATTTTTAAACTCAATTTTCTATATTAATTATTAAGATATCAAATATTATTTCAATCGTATTATATTCTTTAATTAGTCTAGTTTTAAGATTTGATGAGAAGTTAATAGGTTTATTAAGTGTTTTTTCAAAATATTTTAAAATTAGGAAATTTGATTTTTTTGATAATTTATGCTAATTATTAGTCATTTTCAAACGCAATTTTCTATATAGTTTTAAGTTTTCTACTCTAGTTTTAAGATTTAATGAGAAGTTAATAGGTTTATTCAGTGTTTTTTTGAATTATTTGAAAATTAGAAAATTTGATTTTTTTTGATAATTTATGCCAATTATTACTCATTTTCAAACTCAAATTTTCAATATTAATAATTTAGTTATCAAATATTCTTTCAATCGCAATATATTCTTTAATTAGTCTAGTTTTAAGATTTGATGAGAAGTTAATAGGTTTATTAAGTGTTTTTTCGAAATATTTTAAAATTAGAAAATTGATTTTTTTTGATAATTTATGCCAATTATTACTCATTTTTAAACGCAATTTTCTATATTAATAATTATGATATTAATTATTCTTTCAGTCGTAATATATTCTTTAAGTACTCTATTTTTAAGATTTGATGAGAAGTTTATAGGTTTATTAAGTGTTTTTTCAAAATATTTTGCAAATAAGAAAGTCTATTTTTTTAAATACTTATTTTTCTTGTAACCGTTTTTCGACGATAATAAATAAATTTATTGTTGCAAATTTAATAGATTAATTAAATAATTAACGAAATTATATAAAACAGTTAAGTTTTCTATAAAAATCTTTACTATTATGGCTAAATTAAGTGCGCTTAAAAGGATTACCTGATGATCTATTAAAGTCCACATTTTATTCTGATAATAAACTTGAAAATGGGGGGCGGCTGTGTGAAAACGTCGAGCAACTGTTTCGGATTACCCGATTACAAACCTCTTAAATCAAATGGTTCAATGATTCAAACGTTTAATGACTACTATAAATAAATGAAATACACCTAATTTTCAATATCAATTTTCTTTATTACTAAATGCAAAATTAATTACTTTTATAATCTCGTTTAATTCTTTGATTATTCTAGTTTTAATATATAGAAACAAATGTATATGTTAATTTAGTATTTCTTGAGATATTATTGAAAAATTGATTAATTAAAAATGATTATTTTCTTATTAATTAATTGAAATATCAAATACTTTTATAATCACATTAAATACTTTAATTAGTCTAGTTTTAGGATATGAAGTGAAATTAGTATGTTAATTTGGTAATTTTTAAAAATATTCTTCAATAAACAAAGTCTTTTTTTCCAAATAATAAAGCGTTATTTCAAATTGGATATTTCCTAATATTTATTAAAATATCAAATAATTGTATAATCATAATTAATTCTTTAATTAGTTTAGTTTCAAGATATGAAGAGAAATTAATATGTTTATTTAGTGTTTTTATAAAATATTTCACAAAGAAAGTGAAGATGTTTTTCAAAATAATTTATTAAAAATTTTGGAAAAATAAATTCTTTATTAATAAATATCATTCGATATTCTATAAATTTAAATAATATACATAAAAATTGTATAGATTTTGTAATAAATTTAGTTGAAAAAGATAGATTTTGTGTGGAATAAATAACAATAATTTAGATTTGGAAACTAAGTTTTTTTTTCTTTTCTTCTTCTTGTTGTTGTTGAGTTGTAGAGGAAGATTTGAGAGCAATTAAAGACAGCCGCAGCGAAGTTTGATTTAATAATACACGGAGGGCATCTCTGGAGACGCGGACAAGAAATGAAATGAAAGAAAAGAGGAAAAACTTTTCTCGGTTCGCACATTTCTGTATTTTATTTTTACTCCCTCGTTCTCCTTCCGGGGCTAATGCGGCAAAATTAAGTTTTCTCCTCATTCCTTCTTTCAACTTCAGGAAAAAAACCGCCGCCTCTTGAGGGTGTAACTGTTTACTTTACAAGTGGAACAATCGAGGTCTTCCACCCTCCTCTACACGTTGCTTTGTATATTTTTTTTTTGCTTCCTCATTCTCCGGTTGCTCTTCTATTTTCGCAATTGTTAAATTTAATTAAAGAATACGTAATTTCCGCGCTCAGTTCGGGCCTCGAAGAACGCCGGTAACGTTTAACGAGGCGGACACCAGAGGGCCCACAGCCTCCTCGAATCTATCGTACTCGCAGCAGAAAACCGCCCCGTTCTGCGTCTTATTCCAACTCTTATGAAACCATCCGTTCTCGCGGCAAGAATTCTCGCACAGATGGACCACTTCTTCGGGATTAACGAAAGGATTGTTCAACACTAAAAGAACGATAGCTTCAGCCGTTTCCTCGTCCACCACAAGTTTCCAGTTGTATTCAGGAATTGGCAAGATGTTGCCTCGAACTAGGTGCATCTCCTGCTGATTCCCGTCGGTGTCGTTCAAAGATAAAACGCCGTAGGTTCCCGTGTACACTTTCAAATCCCTCGCGAGTTTTCCGGCCAACCTTCGCACCAGGTTCTCGATCGTCGCCCAATTCCCGCCGTTGATCCTGTTCCACTGCGGGCTCGCGTTTATGTAGAAGTACGTGCAGAATTGCCACGCCGCGAAATGGAAATCCGCATCAGGAGCGTGATGTCCTCTGGTCAAGAAGTTCTTCTTGCTGATATACTCGCTACCCAGCACAGATGATCCCAGAATCTTGTTGAACGTTGCCTTCTGGAAAGCCCGTTTGTAAGCCACAGATGCGGACACTTTAGGTCCGAGTCCCTGCGAGCTGAAAGACGGACGATATTTAGCTCGAGATGCATCTACAATTTAAAAAAAAACATTTTGTTACATTTCATTTAATATTTAAATAATTACACATGTTACATCAATGATTCAATAATCAAATTAAAGGAAAATCTATAAGCTTTAAAATGAATTTTATAGATTGATTCTAACATCTATGGTCTATCTGTAATCACCTGTCAAAGTTAAAGAAATTTGAAAAAAAAAATTCTTATTTTTCTCGATAATCACGCATTCCACTTAAATATTTAAATAATCCAATTAAAGTAGAAACTATAAGCTTTAAAACGATTGTACAATCATATTTGTGTCTTTCGTGGATTTTCCTTAATCAGCTTTGAAGTAAGGAAATTTTATTTCACAACCAACAAATGTGTTTATTTACAAAATGATTAAAAACCTTTATTTGTTTTGTTTGGAATTTGGACTTATTCACTTGAAATCAATGATTAACACTGCAAATAAAACTAATGACTATAAATTATGACTAAAGTTGTTTTCTATATATTATTTATAATATAGATCTTATGCATAAAACATTTACATTTTTACGTATTTCTCAAAAACTATGAATAATATTTAGAAATGAAAATGTTTCAATTAAAGCTAATATTATAAGGAATAATACTAATTTAGTAGCATATTTGGGAACTATATGGGTTTCACGTAATTCTTTAACAAATAAAAAGAAAAAATAAGAGATGGAAAAAGCAATGTAATTACAATTTTACGTATTTCTCAAAAACTATGAAAAATACTAAGAAATAATAATATATTAATTAAAGCTAAAACCATAAGGAATAATACTAATTTAGTAGCATATTTGGGAACTACATGGTTTTCACGGAATTCTCTAACAAATAAACAGAAAAATAAGAGATGGAAAAAGCAATGTAATTACAATTTTACGTATTTCTCAAAAACTATTAAAAATACTAAGAAATAATAATATATTAATTAAAGCTAAAACTATAAGGAATAATACTAATTTAGTAGCATATTTGGGAACTACTTGGTTTTCACGTAATTCTTTAACAAATAAAAAGAAAAAATAAGAGATGGAAAAAGCAATGTAATTACAATTTTACGTATTTCTCAAAAACTATGGAAAATATTAAGAAATAATAATATATTAATTAAAGCTAAAACTATAAGGAATAATACTAATTTAGTAGCATATTTGGGAACTACATTGTTTAAACATAATTCTCTATCAAATAAAAAGAAAATTTTGAGATGGAAAAAGCAAAGTAATTACAATTTTACGTATTTCTCAAAAACTATGCAAAATATTAAGAAATTGTAATATGTCAATTAAAGCTAAAACTATAAGGAATAATACTAATTTAGTAGCATATTTGGGAACTACATGGTTTTTACGTAATTCTCTAACAAATAAAAAGAAAAAATAAGAGATGGAAAAAGCAATGTAATTAGAATTTTACGTATTTCTCAAAAATTATGAAAAATACTAAGAAGTTGTAATATGTTAATTAAAGCTAAAACTATAAGGAATAATACTAATTTAGTAGCAAATTTGAGAACTACATGGTTTTGGCGTAATTCTCTAACAAATAAACATAAAAAATAAGAGATGGAAAAAGCAATGTAATTACAATTTTACGTATTTCTCAAAAACTATGGAAAATATTAAGAAATAATAATATAATAATTAAAGCTAAAACTATAAGGAATAATACTAATTTAGTAGCATATTTGGGAACTACATGGTTTTCACGTAATTCATTAACAAATAGACAGAAAAAATAAGAGATGGAAAAAGCAATGTAATTACAATTTTACGTATTTCTCAAAAATTATGAAAAATACTAAGAAGTTGTAATATGTTAATTAAAGATAAAACTATAAGGAATAATACTAATTTAGTAGCATATTTGAAAACTACATGGTTTTCACGTAATTCATTAACAAATAGACAGAAAAAATAAGAGATTGAAAAAGCAATGTAATTACAATTTTACGTATTTCTCAAAAACTATGGAAAATATTAAGAAATAATAATATATCAATTAAAGCTAAAACTATAAGGAATAATACTAATTTAGTAGCATATATGGGAACTACTTGTTTTTCACGTAATTCTCTAACAAATAAACAGAAAAAATAAGAGATGGAAAAAGCAATGTAATTACAATTTTACGTATTTCCCAAAAACTTTGCAAAATATTAAGAATTAATAATATATCAATTAAAGCTAAAATTATAAGGAATAATACTAATTTAGTAGTATATTTGGGAACTACATGGTTTTCACGTAATTCTTTAACAAATAAAAAGAAAAAATAAGAGATTGAAAAAGCAATGTAATTACAATTTTACGTATTTCTCAAAAACT